CCACTGTAGATAGAAATGGGTGTTTAAATGCATGCATTCCAATGCTGACCACTGTAGATAGAAATGGGTGTTTAAATGCATGCATTCCAATGACATTAAAAAAAGAAAAGCCTTCATAGCCATCTAAAAAACAGTTAATGACTTAGAAAACTGATAAATACAGACCAAAAGATGAAACACCTTTACTACATGTACACTACACTACATGAAATGAACCCAGAGTTCAAATCCCAATTCTGTAAAAAAAAAATGTGTCACAGAGTAAACACTAGGTCAGTAGCTAGTAGTAGTATTATTAAATGTTCATTAAATAATTAATGATGGAATACATGTCTGTCATGTGAGAGGTACTTAGTATGCTTTGGCCAGATCGAAGAATAAGATATTCTTTAGGTAATTTGTCTATCCTTATAGTATCAGGTAGGCTGACTGGATATGTCATCAATTGTCACAAAGATCATGGCTCAATATGTGCTTAAGAAAAGTACAGAGAAAAAGAGTTTGTCTTTTCATCTCTCCACGTACAATACCTTCAACCACTAGTGGAGAGCAGAGCTAGGCAGGGCTGCAGGGCGCTTCCAACTCCAGTGGGTTATTTGTCCTTAGGAAACAAGCTTGATTCAAGAACAGAGAAAACTCTCTTACATGGAGGCATGAAATTTTTGGATGTGTAAGTTTCCAGTAACAAAAGAGGAGCAAAGAGACTTTAGAGTTGGTTTCCAAAATCCATCCATAATTGGTGATAATGCAGGTTTCTTATTAATAAATTTGACAGAAATTGACTACCTGAAAAAACTACACACAAATGTCATGGCAGGGGGCTGGGAAGGTGGCTCAGTGGTAGAGCGCTTGCCTTGCATGCATCAGGCCCCGGGTTCAATTCCTCAACACCACATAAGCAAAAAAGAAAAAAAACTGGAAGTGGCGCAGTGGCTCAAGTGGTAGAGTGCTAGCCTTGAGCTGAAGAGCTGAGGGACAGCGCCCAGGCCCAGAGTTCAGGCCCTACAACCAGACCAAAAAAAAAAAAAAAAAAAGGCATGGCAAATTTATTTTGTTTTATTTATATTTATTTATTTTTGCCAATTTTGGGGCCCCCACTCAGGGTGTGGGCGCTGTCCCTAAGCTCCTTTTGCTCAAGGCTAGCACTCTACCACTTGAGCCTCAATGCCACTTCTGACTTTTTTTTTGTCGGTCGTGGGGCTTGAACTCTGGGCTTGGGCGCTGTCCCTGCACTCTTCAGCTCAAGGCGAGCTCTCTACTGCTTGAGCCACAGCACCACTTCCGGTTTTCTGGTGTTAATTGGAGATAAGAGTCTCACGGACTTTTCTGCCTGGGCTGGCTTTGAACCGCCATCCTAAGATCTCAGCCTCCTCATTGGCAAGGATTACAGGCAAGAGCCACTGGCGCTAGGCACTTCCGACCTTTTTTTGAGTAGTTTATTGAAGTTAAGAGTCTCCTGGACTTTTCTGCCCGGGTTGGCTTCGAACCGTGGTCCTCATATCTCAGCCTCCTGAGTAGCTAGGATAACAAGTGTGAGCCATCAGCGCCCAGCAGCAAATTCATTTTAACTCATGATAAATGCCTAATTTATGAAGAGGTCCTTTCTTAGCACTTACACTGCTCTATTATGGGCTTCTAGAAGGTGATTGATAACAGAATCAGTACTTTCTCTAAATAAAAATTTATCATCTCCAAATAATAGTCTCAGCATTTAGCAAAAAAGAATTAAGTTTTCAAAACAGTGTTTTTAGGTTCCAATGACCAAAGCGTTTTAAATTGATACTATTATTTAGTAGTTAATTGGTTAATAATGATAATATTGCTAACAGTACTAATAAGTGTTAATATGTTCCACCCTCCCCCCATGTTGGCTTCTCAGGGGTAGCAAATGTTAAGCCTTCATTCCACGTGGTTCTGGGCATCTCCACACGCAATAAAGGCGTGAGTGCATGTGCCGGGCATTCTTGTGTCTGTAACTGCTCCTTGCTCTTCCATTTTAGTGTTGCCACAGGCCGTTGTCCAGTTTGAGGAATTGGTTGGCATGGCAGAGACCCTGCTGAAGGGGGGGAGCACCGCGCCTACACCCGCGTCCACCCTCTGGAGGGCGGCCAGCAGCTCCTCTCCGGACTCACTGACCTCCGTCTGCAGTCCTTCTGGCTCTGACTCCAGCTCCCCCAGTTCCCTCAAGGCCGAGGAGGAGAAGCAGGTTAGCAGCGCACCGGCCAGGTTATCCTGGAGAATAGTTAGGTAGCAAAACTTCAGGGAGCGCTGCAAAACTACATTGTCTCCTCAGTGCCTTCCAGGCAAGTTTAGATGCCAAAGTCTTATGTTCCTGTCACAAGAACTGTTTTGCTTCTAGAATAAAAATTAATATTATGAAGCAAATACCCAGTTCAGAAAATGAATGGAAAACTATGGACCAAGGTGACACTTTTAAACTGGGAAATTCTTAGACCATGAACAGAGGGACGCCTACACATTGTTATAAAATGTTCTGTCATTGAGTGAAGATAAATTTCAGTACTTGCATGTCTCTAAGTACCAGTCTTTCTGTTTTCTCTACTTTTGTTAAGCAACAATTCAAAAATGAGTTTGTTGAAATCCCCTATCAAGCTGAGGAACTGTGCCTTCAAAGTGACAACTAAATAGTAATAGATGTATAATTGGACCTAAACTTAGTCTATTGCTTTCCTGTTGTTCGGTAATAGGTTACCACAGGTGTAGTGATTTTAAATAACCACTACTTGATTATCACAGTGAATCACTTGACGATCTTGGGGTCTTTAGGTCTGAAGTCCTGTGCCCTATCACAGGACTGGCACCACGGATTCCTTACCGAGGCTCAAGGAGAATCTGTTTCCTGCACAGTTAAGTTCCTGTGGTAGAGTTTAGTTGCTTGTAGTCCAAGACCTGATTTTCATATTTTCTCGGAGGCTGTAACCTGCAGGCTACTCCTACCTCCAGAAGCAGTGACATTCATTGCTTCGTTGGCTCTCGGTCTACTCTGCCATCCTCAAAGGCATCCACGATCCATGCGCTCCCGTTCAGTCTCATCTTCCCTCTCCTGTCTTTCCTTTTGGACCTCTACTTCTGCATAACTCTTCTTTGTCTAAGGGCTAGTGTGACTATGTTGGGCCCCCCTAGGTATTCCAAGATAATCTTCTATCCCAAGATCCTTAACATCAGCCACATCTATGGACTTGTTTGCCCTGTGATAGAACACGTTCACAGATAGTAGAGCTAAGAGGTGTACCTCTTCAGAGAGCCATTTTTCTGCCAGACACACTCAGTCAAGTGCTGAGGACTAATCCTTGAAGGCAGTCCCAATGATGTGACAAGAATGTACACACACGGGCTGGGAAGGTGGCTCAGTGGTAGAGCTCTTGCCTTGCATGCATGAGGCCCCGGGTTCGATTCCTCAGCACCACATAAGCAAAAAAGAAAAAAGCCGGAAGTGGCCCTGTGGCTCAAGTGGTAGAGCACTAGCCTTGAGCTGAAGAGCTGAGGGACAGTGCCCAGGCCCAGAGTTTAGGCCCCACGACCAGAACTAAAAAAACAACAACAAAAAAGAATGTACACACATGCCAGAAGCAATACTTCAGAAGGACTGAGAACTATCTCAAAGATTACATCTAACTCTAATCCCTAGTATATTAAAAATACATCTTGGAGAATGTTGATACTGTTTTCTGTGTATCTTACACATTTTTCTTTTTCTCACTGTGATGATTATTTATTTTTCAGTTCAAGATTGAAAGTTGGCAGATTGCCCGCTGTAATAAGAGCAAGCCTCAGAAGTTCATTAATGACTTAATGCAAGTGCTTTACTCTAACGAGTACATGGCCACGCACAGCCTGACGGGGGCCAAGTCCTCCACGTCCAGAGACAAAGCCGTCAAACCAGCCATGAATCAGAACGAAGTTCAGGAAATCATAGGTGATCACACCCTTGCTTTGTATTCTCATATGAACCTGAAGTCATGTTATCCTATCTTTCCCATTTTCTGTGAAAGGACAAAATATTTCAGCATATTTGAATGTTCTCATTAAGTAAGGGGAAATTCCAGAAAAACTTTTCACTGAAATGAAGCATGCAGATATCAATAAATTTAGAGATTGTCAGGATTTAAGTTTTACATATACATAGATTATATATATATATATATATACATGTGTATATATAATAGTAAGAAAACAATCAGTTGGAATCCAGTCATTTTCACTGATGTAAAGAAATGGATAAATAAATCCCTAGCATTTTGGAACAAATAAACTTAGAGCTGAAAGCAAGTAGTAAGGCTAAAGCTGAACAGTACCACATAAAGACAAACTGGGTGGTCTCCATTTATGATATAGACCTTCTGGTATTTTTTGCTTTGCTCTGAGAAAACTGCCTTCATATCCATCTACTTTAGTATCTCATGGGAAGTTGGGTTTCCTTTGTAAAATGGAGACAGAATTACATGGCAGAATATTTGGCATTCCTCAGTTCTACATTACAGTGCTTTCCTGTTCTTTCCTCTTTGGCAGGTGTCACAAAACAATTATTTCCCAACACAGATGATGTTTCCATCAGGCGGATGATAGGACAGAAGCTGAACAACTGTACCAAGAAGCCAAATCTAAGCAAAAGCCTTAACTCTCAGGATATTAAGTAGATCTTTTTGGTAAGTCTGTTACATCTTCCCATTCTTCTCAACGTGGGCCTGCCCTCCCTGTGGAACGGCTTCTCCCGTCCACAGCTTCTGGGTGGCAGTGTGGGTGGTGGTGAGAACTGCAAAAGGGGGCTGAGTCAGCCGCAAGGGCCTTCCCTTCCCAGAATGCCTCAGGTATGATGACAGTATGGACTCCTGGGTGCAGCAGCAATCTCTTGAAAAGGCAGTGCGGTGTGTAGTATTTCTCAAATGTCTTTTGCCGAGGAACTGTTATTCACAAAACACACGCTAACTTGGGGGTGAGGAGAAAGACTGGAGGGACACAAGACTAGCTGGGGAGTGTTTCCCTGGATGAGGAGAGATGGGGAGCTTGGGAAGTCTAAGACGCACCTGTGAGCTAAGCAAACCTGTAGACAGCCTCCAGGAAGGTTTTGGCAATCTGTCCTCTGCTGCCCTCTACCATGCTCCAGATCTGTGAATCATGGTTAGAATTTAATAAGGAGTTTTTCCACTGGTCAGGCCTTGCCCTGGGCAAATTTGTCAGGTGGAATTTTAAGCATTTTAACAGCCCAGAATCTCTCTCTGCTACAGTTTAGGCCTGGGATGTTCCCCAAAGGCACCTGCAGTGAGGGCTCAGTTTATTCCCCGCTAGGGGCTGTCAGGAGTCAGTAGGAACAGTGAGAGTTAGGACCTAGTAGGAGGCCTTCTGCTTTTGAAGGAGACTGTGGATCCTACTCTCTTCTTTTCCTTTTTTCCATTTTTCCTTTCTACCATGGCTATCACCTCTAACCTCCTCTGGAGCCCTTTGTCTATTTTCTTAAACTGTCAAGGTCAGAAATAGTCTGTCTTTTAAAAAAGAAAGAAAATATGACTTACAGCTCCAGCAGTGGGATCCTTTCTCTTGGTTCACACACACTGGTAGACGGGCTTCGTGAATGATAGAGGTAAGAATGTTATATTTCCACAGAAGTATTAAAGTTGAGCGGGCTGTGAAGGGCCCCTTCCGGAGACCGTTGCTCAGTGCCCTTAGAGTGTCCCACCGGAGCCCTAGGCAACCCAGTGCTCCTGAACATCTGCAACACACCTTTGAGTCAGATGGCTGTTTTCTAGAACATACTGTTAAACTTCCAAGCTCCACAAAGCATTTTAATATCCCACTCTCTGATTTTTAATAATGTAGATTACCAAGGACAGGCAAAAAAGTCATCTCGATGGTTTTGTTTGTTTGGTCAGTCATGAGGCTTGAACTCTGGGCTGGGTGCTGTCACTCAGCTCTTCAGCTTAAGTGGAGTGCTCTACCACTTGAGCCACAGTGCCACTTCCAGTTTTCTGGTAGTTAATTGGAGATAAGAGTCTCAGACTTTCCTGCCTCGGCTGGCTTTGAACCTCGATCCTCAGATCTCAGCCTCCTGAGTAACTAGGATTACAGGCGTGAGCCGATGGCACCCGGCTCTATCTTTTTTTGTTGCACTTTTTAAAAAACTAAATTTAATTAACCTATTTTTTATTTTTTTGGTGTACCAGTCCTGGGACTTGATCTTAGGACCTGGGCACTGTCCCTGAAATTTTTTTGCTCAAGACTAAGTGCTCTACCCCTTGGCCACAGTTCCGCTTCTGGATTTTTTGTAGTTTATTGGAGTAGAGCACTGGCCTTGAGCAAAAGAAGTGCAGGGACAGCACCCAGGTCCAGAGTTCAAGCCCCAGGACTGGCACACACACACACACACACTTTCCTACCCAGGCTGGCTTTGAACAACAATCCTCAAATCTCAGCCTCCAGAATAGCTAGCATCCCCTGTGTGAGTTATGGGTACCCAGCTAGTGAGTTTATAAGACAGGGTCTCACCGTGTGGCCGAGGCCAGCCCAGGGTGTCCGCTCAGCACAGGGCGTATGCATCACCATGCACAGCCAGCAATTTGTATTTTTGAGCACAAGATAAACATAGTTTATAAACATAGTTATACAAATAAATCACTTGTGTATGTTAAAGGTATCATAGTCTTCAACATACGTTGGCTGTGTTTTTGAAATTTGATTTTTTTGATAGGTATTATAGGCATCTGCAACAAAACGCCTTCGGTTCTGAATCAGTCATTGGGTTTTGTTGGAGAATCTGCACACTCCGTGGACACAGAGACGCCTGTGCAGTGGCGGCTGCCCGGTGTCTGTGACGTCGTGGGTTCTCATCATAGCCGGACGAGCTGCCTGCGAATGCTGCATGCAGATCCACCCCACGCCAGAGACGCATCAACCCAGAGAACTCCCACTGGTCACATGAGCATGCAGTACGGTCTCTTTGGAAATACTCATTTCCTGATCCCCAAGTTCTCTTCTGTACAGCTCACTCAACAGGACGGTCAAACCTCTTCTCCTAGCAGCGAAAACGGCAACCCTCTGATCAGTCTCTGTCTAAAACAAGCCTCACACTTTCAATATTACCAGTGGCTCCCAACATAGCCTTTGGATATTATACAGAAGGCAATCACATCTAAGAAGGAATATTTTTTTTTTGGTTTGGTTTTTATTTTTTGTAAGTTATGGGGCCTGAACTCTGGGCCTGGGCACTATCCCTGAGCTCTTCAATGCAAGGCCAATGCTCTACCCCGTGAGCCACAGTGCCGCTTCCGGTTTTCTGGTGATTTATTGGAAATAAGAGTCTCACAGACTTTCCTTCCTGGGCTGGCTTTGAACCGAGATCCTCAGATGTCAGCCTCCTGAGTAGCTAGGATTACAGGGGTGAGCCACAAGTGCCCAGCTAAGAAGGAATAATGTTTAAGCAATAAAGTTACAGGATTTTTATTATCTAAAGTGAACAAAGTAGAACAACAAAAACGGAGAACAACCCCTTTTTCATACTGAAGTATTCTACCACACTCCTGAAAAACAAACCAACCCAAAGCTTATGCATTAAAACAGTGCATCAGTTTTTAAAATCATCTATTTGTTTATGAAACATTCATCGAACTTTTTATCTTCAAAAATTACAGATAATTAATATAAAACATTCTACCTGGGAAGTAACATATGTAATTTGGCCAGTTTTTCTCTTCTGAAACAAATCAGTTTTGTTTCATTGTAGAAGAAAAATAAATTGGGAAAATCACTATGTATTTGATAATTACACAAAAAGAAGAATGCCACTTTGTATATTAACAAAAGATAAAGCCTTTTTCAAAGGCTTCTCAGTGGATGTCACACTTGTACTGGTGACCTCTCTGCACTTGGAGGCTCTCCTCCTTCTGTGTACAAGGTCACCTTTGAAACTTGGAGAAGAGGCTACAGTACTTACAAAGGTCATAACAATGACCCTGGAACATTTCATACATGTTGCTTGATAAAAACATGATTGTGCAAAGTAAATGTTCTTAAGGAAATAACTCATGTAACATTTACTACTTACAATTAAAAGTAAACTCCATTGGAAAAAAAAAGGCATTTTGTTTGTTTTTTACTGTAGAATATTGAGGGGAATCTTTTTTGAGGGGGACAGCTACTTCACCCATCCATGGAGACATTATCTCCTAGCTAGCCAGTTTGTACTGAAATAGCTATACTCTGTATAGACAATATACAATATGCTCTGTATAGACAATATACAGGAAGACATTTAGCATTTTAATACAGAATAGTTTTTATTGAAGTGAATACTATTTCCTTAAAAAATCCTGCTAATGTAAATATTGACTACTAAAGGTAAATAAAATTGCCTGTATAAAACATATTTATAGTACTCAACTAGAACTTTTGAAATATAGTTTTATCAATAGCAGAATAAATTATTTTGTTTTATAAACTGTTCACAAATTAGTTCCAAAATAACAAAATCAACGAAATTATTGAATAGGGTTCCAGAAACCCATTGGGGGTACACATATGTATCCTCACATAAGCTATCTGTTCATGTATGTAAGAATTGAGGGCTAGGAAGCTGGCTCAGTGGTAGAGTGCTTGCCTAGGATGCTCCAAGCCCTGGGTTTAATTCCTTAGTACCACATACATAGAAAAATCCAGAAGTGGGGCTGTGGTTCAGTGCTAGCCTTGAGCAAAAGCAGCTCAGGGACAGTGCCCAGGGCCTGAATTCAAGCCCCAGGACTTACAAAAAGAAAAAGAAAAAAAAATAATTGAGGATGTGATTAAAGAAGAACCTTAAGTTGTAAAAGAATGATTTAATAAGTAATTCTGAATGTGAACTGGAGGTGAGTGGAGGAAAATTCTCTTCCTGCTTCAAATCATACTCCATTTTGGTATTGTATGATTCCTTTATCCACACAGTCCATTTTCATATTTCTACTCTCTGACTGGGCAGGATATTCTCAGTACAAAACCAGTGCAGCAAAAAGAAGTCAACAGCATTCTGGTGCTCAGTTTGCAGCAGCCAGGCTCTGTAGTAGACGTCTCGGAGCTGGGGCTTTGCCTCATCCTCTCAGAAAGGACACTGTTCCTCTTCTGTGCTTTCTGAGCTCCACCACACAGGCGATACCTTGATGTACTCTTTGCATTTTCTGCCCACTTTTAACTGCTTTTAACAACTTGCAAACACCTTTGGATTGTTGGCCTGCCAAGGTGGTATGTTTTGATGTTCTGTTTCTCCTTGATGCATTTTAAAACATTTTCTTAGAGGAATTCTACTTGCATATGCAGTTAGTTTCCAGTGCCTATGCCGTAGGATTTCTGGATAGGCACATGATACCCATGTAAATGTCAATTAGAAGTACCATGGCGGGGGAGCTAATAGATGTGCGGTCCTGGGGCTGAACTGTGGGCCTGGGCGCTGTCCCTCAGCTCTTCAGCTCAAGGCCAGCTCTACCACTTGAGCCACAGCGCCACTTCCGGTTTTGAGTGGTTTACTGGAGGTGAGTCTCACGGACTCTCCTGCCCGGCTGTATCTACGTAAATATTAAAAAGCATTTTAACACCTTTGGTCATAGACCCGTACTTGGCTGCAACCTATACCCAAACGCAAAGCCAGAGGCCTAGCCCTGAAGCAGCCTGAGAGGGGCGCATGCGCTCTAGCGCAAGGTCCTAGTCAGCCCCCGCGCCAAGGCCTGGCCGGAACTACAATTCCCAGAGTGCGCTGCGGCGCGATGGCGAGGCTCCGCGGGGCGGTCGTCTCAGGCCGCGCCTCCGCCTCAAGCAGTTTCGCGCCCGTTTCGCCCGAGGCGGGCACAGAAGTCGCGAGACGGGGCCTGGTCTCGGCCTAGGGGCGCGGCGGGAAGGAAGCGCCGCCGGCGGCCGCGGGAGCCCGGGGCCGG